CCTTTTTATAACAGTATGGTTTTCATTTTATTACTATGGAAATTACTTAGCAGTTCTCTAGGGACATTTGTCCAGTTTATTAAACAATTGGATTTGCATTGTGTTTTTTTGTGATCCTTCTGATTGTATAATGGAGAAAATATGTTTCTTGCTCTAAATATCTCATGGGATTCCGAGGTACGGAATAGGGAAGTGGAATTTAAAAATTAAACGAGACTTACCTGTAAGTTGAAGTTTGATATAAATTCCACTGACCTATGAAGTACAGAGGGATCACATGCCCATCCATTGTATCCCTTCCCTTGGTACCCAAGAATCATATTTTCAAGTTAAATACTGATACTTACGCGCATGCGCACATCTCATGTGATCCCTCTGTACTTCATAGGTCAGTGGAATTTATATCAAACTTCAACTTACAGGTAAGTCTCGTTTAATTTTTAAATTTCACCTCACCTCACCAAGTCGCAGCCCCCACACTAGTCAGTTGCGGCTCATGATCTATAATAACATCTCAACAATGACCACACAGTGAGCTTGTCACGTGATACACATTCTTTTCTGTGTCAGCACTTCCCTATTTGGAAATGGCTACTACGTTTTTATACTATCCATTGTTTTGCTTTAATGAAGGCTGAGATGGCTGAATGTATCAGTGCATGAGAACAATACACCCAACCATGACTTGGCTGACTTGTTACGTCATGCATATCTTTAGCTATTAATGAGTTACATACATACTAAATAACCTGCCACAGAAAACACATGAAACTAAATTTGACCTCAGTTTAATATAAAGGTTGTAGTTGATGAAGTATCAATAAAATATTTTGTGGCACAACTATTTGAATACAATGCAATAATCGGATAATAGTGTATACCCGTAAAGAGGTCATATGGTATACTTTCTTATTTGTCTGCAAACAAAAAAGGTTTGCAAATCTTGATCGTGACATTTGTAATAGCATATGTGTACTGAAAATTCAAAGGAATTGTAAGTCATGATATAGCGTGATATAAATCGTGACATTTTCTAAATAGCGTCTACCATTAAACATTCGAAATAAAGTGGTAAAATATTGAAGACATACGTGATTTAATTGTATGTTGACATAAAAAATATCACAGGTACAGGTGAACGCACACATCTCTTCCTGGCGTGTGATTCAGCTGAATGATAAGCAGTTGTGTGAAACTTTTCCTATCCTTAAAAGCAAAGTGAAAAATTTAGTGTTATCAATTCAAGACCAGGAACGGTGTTTTTGCATTGACTTTTAAGTAATATTTCTCATCCATTGAGCATTTGATATTTCATTTCTTGCAGAGAATAGTCTTAATTTTGACCTGCTTGTATACTGCAGAATTATATTCATATGCAGGCATGTACAATGAGCTAGAAAAGGTGAGCTGTACTTCATACATTCTGTTAACCCTTTACCTGCTGGAGTAGAGAAATACTCAGTTGAATACACATTCCAATCTCAGAGAGTTATGTTTGTTGCAGAATTACGGAAATCGGAAATGACCTTGTTTTGTGGAAGCATGACCCATATCGAATTCATGTAAGTTGGCTGTGTAATGATATCTTGCAAGGTTTTGTAAATAATTAATCTTTGCCGCAGGTACCATTAACTTTTAATTTTACTTAATTTTCACTAGTGAGTTTAAGCTGTTGATGGGTAGTATATCTTAGATTGAAAAAATTGCGATCCGGTGGAGTGTAGCGCCAAAACACAACTTTGAGGCGAGATGACCAACTTTCGACCCCACTTTAACGAGGACGGTTGCGTTTGGGTGAATATTTTCAATTTCAGTAACTGACATTCCAGTCTGTGTGACTCACCAGGCTAAACCTTCCATTCATATTTACATATTTTTGTACTTCTTTTCAAACCAATTGATTTAAACAATATGTTATTTCCAAAGAAGCTATATGTACAAGGTTTGAACATTGATTTTACATATAAAAGGAAATAGACTGCTGCATTTCTAGGTTGGAATTCTGATGGAATATAACGTTAGAAGTGTTGCATGCTTACAAGTTACACTAACAACTAGTCTCTGAAATGAACATATTTTACTGAAAAAAGTTCATAGTAAAAAAAATATAATTGTAAGACTTGGGTAATTGCTGTGGTTGTGTAACAATTACGTCTCACGGGAAAAGGGATGGGCAAGTGTGTCTATTGCGCGAAGTGCTCCAGTCAAAGATGACACAACACAAAAAGACAGTAATAATATGTATTAAAATAAAAGGTCTTGGTTACAGAGTTGCAAATTCCGACTGCACAGTCCAGGTGAAACCTAAAAAACAAGTTGGCTTGTTGTCACCTCGACAGTGCAGGCAGAAAGAGCCATTGTACATATACAATTATGAAAATCAACAATAATCCGACTGATATATAGGATGTGACGACAATACTTATTAGGGGAAACAATATTATTAAAGGACAAATAAATACAATATTGGTACTCAAGCATATGTGCATATATGAGCACACAATCCCAAAGAGTATTTACATAAATAACTTTAATTATATAACCCGAAAGAATCGTCAACCCCTCCTATCAGAGGATTTACATAGGGCCCCACCTGAGGTGAGGTGAAAGTCACAATAACTTTAAGGGCCAATCGGAAGTATAAAAATACATATATATACACAAAGTTGGGGAAAATTTATACCCAACACATTTGGAATATATGAGAACCGGTTTGATTGATATAAACAATAGCCACGACAGGACACCTGGCCTGTATGACACATATGGCTAAGCGAAATGGGGTATGACTGCCTGTTGGATGATCATACTAGTCAATATGAGGCTAGCTCCAACAGAATGTCAATACACCCAGTAGGTACACCACTTGGGGCTACCCAGAATGAACACCTAATTGTAGTAAGTAAATTGAAAATATGTAATAAACGGATATTACATGATTTATATTACTACAATTTGTAGGTATATTATTGGCCATATAATATAATACATTATATTATTATTGAATAAACTGTGACTTCACTTTCACATCAAGTGGGTAAACATACTAAAACATGATTGATGTAACAACATGTAGAACTATTACGTTTGCTTGCGTAACGCCAGACGCGAAGAGAACGAGAAAATAATCTTGTTCAGAAGATAAACAATATTCAAATGCAGAATATGCTATTACCCATCAGTAGCACTTTACAGATATACTTGATAAAGTGACATGAGATGATGGTAGGCTTTTGCTATGTTAGGATAAACATGAAGCAGACGACGGACCCTAGGTTTGTTTACATCCGGTGCAGCCATTTTGTAATGAAGCCGGACGGGAGCCGAAGAATGCCGAGGAGAGCCGAAGACAGCCAAGGTTGTGTGCTGCTCAGTGGAGAGGTCAGCACTGGTCAGTGAGCATGATCGCCACTAATTGGTTCCAGATGATACCGTGATACTCTAACTGAGCACATGGTTTGGAAACCGGAACAGTGATACAGCCACTTTTTAATTTAGAATAAAATGGCAAAAGAGTTCTGTTGTTAACAGCAACAAGTTGTAAATAAATGGAATTTTGAATTTAGCAATGAGCTAGAGACAATTTTGACTGGCAGGTCAAATAAGCAAATTAATGCTAAACACACAGAGTACTTTACTAAAATGAACTTCTAGATGAAAATATATTACAATGAGTACATGTCATTTATTCTTGCCATCGAGTGCACGTTTGGACAGTCACAGATGAGTGACCTTTCGCCAGTTTGGCACAGCAAGAATAATTGATGACAGTGACCCAACACTTGTTTTAATTGTGATTTATCAAATTAAAAAATACATTAATTTAAAAGCCGCAGATAATTACTTATCCTGCTAACAACATAACTATGCATTGGAATTTTAATACAGAAGACCTAGTTGCAATATGGAAGCAAACTGAGGTTCTTACCTAAAAAACAAGTTGGCTTGTTGTCACCTCGACAGTGCAGGCAGAAAGAGGAAGATTTCAGGCTTGGGGGTCCCACGCTCCCTCTTGCCCCTGTCATGTGACAACATAGCCCCTGGGGATTGGCTAAAAACTGTTGCTATGGAACCCATGGCACCAGTGCCTTGAACCCCAGAACCCTATCAGATAACTGGTAAAGGGCAGGATATTGGGTTACTTGTGCAAGAGACTAGGACAAAATATCCAGCCTTTACATAATGAAAAGGAGCCCTGAGACTTTCTTCATTTTCAGAAGCTGAGGAAATCTAGACTTGCCACATTTTCTAGACTTGCATGGGCTTTCTTGGATATATTTGCTTCAGTATCTGTACGACAGACTAGCTTACAAGTGTTAACAAATAAGATGTACTACTTAATGAACATATTACTTATGGTATCAAGCACTTATTGAAAGCGGTTAGAATCAGCTATGAATTTATAGACATAAGCAACATTCCACCCATTTCAAATTTAACAGCAATGATTTCAATATATCAAATTTGATTGGTTCCTAGTCATAACATTTCAATACACATTCCAGTCAGCATGGGTAATCTCTTTAAATAAAGACGCCACTTAACTCTTTACCGGCTGGTATAGAACCATAGTGTAGGCTATCATTGTATACAATAGGGTTAAGGGTTCAAAGGACAGCTCCTGGAATTTATGGAATGTGCTCCTGAAAACTCCTTTGGTATGTAGGAGTACTCCTTAAAAAATGCTATTGTTCTCCCCTGGAATGCTATTGTTCTCCTTAGGAATGCTATTGTTCTCCTTAGGAATGCTTTGATGTCCGAAACTGATTACTTATATACTACTCACATTAATTCGTCAGTTAGAGCTGATGCACAATAAGTTCAGATCACTTGTAGTGTATGCTGACGATTCAAACTTCAAACCACCAGGCCACTTTAATTATTGTCTGCAAGGTACGAAGTACAAGGCAACGCTGTAACGGAACGCACTCATGATGGAATAAGCTGACTGTCACGACCAGTCATATTCATCCAATACTTTAAAGACGGATATCTGTTTC